CTTGACATCACCTTATTATTTTCTCTGGCGACCATACGCGAAAACTGTCAGCGAAAATACAACATGAGGTTCCGAGTTAGTAACCGCCATTGAAAATCTATTTCAGCCAATATAGTTTTGCTAATTGACATGAGCTGAAAAAAAAGGTTATTCAAATAATAAATATATGTATATGTACAAAAGATTCCATGGTACGTTGGTAAAATGCATGGTACTGGGATCGCAACCTCACTAGGCTAGATTCATTTATAATAGTAGAGACACAAATAGATTGATTTTAATCTACCTTAAAGACCCCTCCCATTAATTTGGCTCCAAGCCTCCACCACTGTTACCAAATGGGAGTTACAACTATAACTATAATATATTGAAGTAGGGGGTCTTTTTTTTTTTTTTGAGGGGAGTAGGGGGTCTTTATTTGTAGCTATAACTATAATATGGGAGTTTACAAATGGATGTATGAGTACAGTTATGGTTGGAAATAAATGTGTCTTGGGTAATATCTCCTTACCTTTTCGTAAACGAGATACCATGTGTTAACTGATATTTTTTCGTGCTATTTTTCTGAACCTTCGTGGTCCTTAGTCAATGCCGAGCAATACAAAACTTCTTTAGTGATTCTCAACATACCTATTTTATTCCTATATAGTTAACTATCCCCTATGACTTCCTTGCTCATGGGATAATCAAGGATGAGAAGGAAGTGGAGAGGTGGCCATTGATGATGTTTCTATGCAATTTTTAGGCTAGGAAACTAGTCTCAATGATGTTTCTATCCATTTTTTTTACGAGCACCCATCCACATTAATGGACTTGTGCCTCTTGGATTCATTGGGCCTATCATTCCCCTATGACTTCATTGCTTATAGGAGAACTAGAGATGAGAAGAAAGTCGAGAGGTGGCCGTTGGTCTTAGGCTAGGAAGCTAGTGTTGATGATGTTTCTATGCAATTCTTCACGAGCACACATCCGCATTAATGGGCTTATGCCGCTTGGATTCATTGGGCTAGGGGTGGATATCGAGCCAGCTCGACTCGGCTCGGCTCGGCTCGCTACCTTAACGAGCCAGCTCGGCTTGGCTCGTTAGTGCTAACGAGCTGAAATGCTAACTCGGCTCGACTCGGCGAGCTGGCTCGTTGAGCTTGTTTAGCTTGTTAACTGACCAGCCGGCGCTCCCTATCCGTGAAGCAGACCAGCAGGGTGCGGGAGGAGCGGCATGGTCGGTGTCGTCGGCATGGCGCTGCGGCTGCGGGAGGAGCGGCGTCGTCGGCGTGGCCCTGCGGGCCTGCGGCTGCGACCTGCGGGAGAAGCGGCCGGCATCGTCGGCGTGGCCCTGCGGCGGCAGAAGGAGCGGCCGGCGTGGTCGGCGTGGCCCTGCGGCTGCGTGGCCCTGTGTCGTCGGCGTCGTTGGTGTTGATGGTGGCTGCGACTTGCCGCCTGCGAGCTTGCGACCTGCCACGGTGCCGCCTGGGATTCAGTGAAGCGGCTGAAAAGATAGGGTTTAGCCGTAATTAGGGAAGACAGGAGTTGGCCAGTTGGGGAGAGAGTTTTTACTGGGTTGGTCTTGGGCCGGCTGTGGCCTGTGGGCCTGTGGATGTGGGATTCTTGGGCTATGCGAGTTTAACGAGCCTACCAAGTGACTCGCGAGCTAGCTCAGGATCAGCTCGTTAGCTTAACGAGCAAAACTGCTGGCTTGGCTCAGCTCGTTAAGACTCCGAGCTCGAGTCGATCGGAGCCGAGCCTGAAACGAGCCGATCTGAGTCGCGAGCTTCGAGCTTTTTTTTCCAACCCTACATTGGACCCATCATAAGGTGGACGCAGCTTGGAAACAAAGATGGAGCGGAGATGCTCACTCGATAAGAACAACCAAGCAACACATACCATATTTATGTTGTAATTTATAAAAAATATAGTTCAATCAATAAATTAATGCAAACAAGAAAGTATACCTTTAATTTTAAATAAAGTAATATTCTTTGCACCATAATTCATCATACACCATATCAAGTCATCGATCAATTCATCGAACCTCCTATTATGCAAATTGGTTCTGATTATATTAATAGCCGAGAAGGCTCTTTCAACATATGTTGTTATAACAAGTAGAAGCAATGCTAAGTTAATAGGGTGATAGACCAATGGAAATCAATGTCCTTTTGCATTTCAACCATCTTCAAGGACAAACTACCAAGATCATGTGCACATGGCAGTGTCGATGTCCACGTGGGAATCGGGATGGCTTTGGCCCTAGCGGTGCCGACGCCTTGGTGGCATGAATAAAAGACGAACCGTTCAATCCAAGACTTAATGATCGATGGGACTGATCGAGGAGAGACGAGACGTCAGCATTTCTATTTTCTTTCGTCGCTTGTGGCCTTCCACCTACAGCGTGAATACTTGATGGGCTGGTCACTTGTAGGATGCTTATGGATAGAATCTGGTATCAAGAAGCCCAAGGGAGGATATAGGAGTTTGGGGGGAGGGGGGGGACGCAGGCCATAGCTGGGCCTATCGACCTACCCTACCCATGGGTGGTTCCGTCCCTCCATCATGTAATGTTAACGGATGGGCTTGACCATCAAACACCTTGATACCATTTCTTGTGATCCCCTTTGTTGTGGTTGGGAGACACTTGTTGTCGCCTCTTCAATTGATCTTATCATGCTCGGAGGCTATACCTACCCATAGCTATTTTTTCCATCCTCTACGTCACCACTAGCTTCTACCTAGATATTTGTTGCATCCTTATCCTACATATCTCTTGATATCGTCGCCAACATTGACTGAAGACTTATTTGTTATCAGCCTTGTCTTTTGCTATATGATGACATAACGTTTGTCGTCGAAGATCAAGGCCGAGTGGAGGGAAGTAGCATTACCATAGACACAAGTGGGCTAGAGAACCTATTTCAAGCAAGAATTAGTTAGCATCAATGACTAATTTCTCTTCAAACTTAGGTATTTTGTGTGTATGATTTCTAACAGTTTTCTAGTTTGATGTTGTTTTATTTTATTGAAACCTTTGAAAGTTCAATGGTTTTGTTGTTGTCTCCCTTTGGTAGCATTACATTTGTGTTACATAAGTTTATTTGGGATAGAAAGATGAATTTGCGGGATATAATGAATCGCCATCAAAGTCAACTAACCAAGAAAATCACTACTCCCTCCATGGATAAACTAATGTTTGATGCTCCTACAAACCATTTTATCCTACCTAGATACCCTAGTAGAAAACATTGTTTGCATGTCCATTTTCCTTTTTGGACCACAGGAAAAAAATGCCACATGAATAGAACAAACTTAGGAATATGAACAAAATATAGGTGCAAATAATATATTGCAAAAGCACATGAGAGTGTAGGGTGCGGGCAGGGAAATTTCGAATGGCATCACATATGTTTTCTATACGCACAAAGATTGATGATTTTTCATATGAAAAATATTCATCAATCCTACATCCCAAATGTTGATATAGTGAAAGAATAGTATGTCGAAGAATCCTTTACGTTTTCTCCATTCCAAACGGGCCGACTAGTTTGTTGTTTCTAAGCATAGAGCTATAAAAGATACAACTAGTATCCTTACTATGTCTCTCTTTTTATGTCACCATTTATGGTTGATGATTTGTTGTTTCCTTGTCCTACTTCTTGGTATCCCCCCACATGTTGACCTTAAGCTTTTTTTTTTGTCGACATCCTTATACCTTCTATCATCTTTGTCTCGTGTGACCGTCACACTAGTCATCAAATATTTAAGCAAAGTTTGGAGGGTGTATGTAAAAAATATCATGTATTTGCCACATATCTAACCCACAATAATTTGCTAATATAATGCTTGTGTCAATTGTATCGTGTCTTGTAAAAATATAGTTTGACGACTTTTATGGTTATCCGCCTTGATAACATTATTACTTTTGTGTTACATTAATCAAATCATGCAAATAAGATGGGGAAAAGGGGAGGAATATTTTTCACCATCACATATAGCTAACTAAGAAATAAATATTTTCCTGCAAAAAAAAAGGAATAGCCAGTGATGGAGGGATGCAATATGCATGCAAATAGTAAAACAAACAAAAACCAATGCATGAACCTAGCCATGGAGGATCCCAAGCACCAATAATGGAAGAAAAGAACGTAGGAAAAGAAGAAAAAGGAGAGGGCCAATGTAGACTTAAAAACTCCCTAACCACTTTTTGTGCAAAGCTGACATTTTCAATTCTGCTGTCCCTCTCTCCACCTCTGCCTGCATGCTACCAGCCCCACACTCCACCACAACCTCTCTTCCCCTTTCCTTTGCCTGCATTCTGCATTTTGACTTCTCCTCCTCCTCAAACTCACTCATCACTTCTGTTCCTTGAATTTATTTGTATTTCCATACACACCCTCATCTTCTACTACTATCTTCTAGATACCATTCTAAAAAAAATATATGAATTTCTAGAGTTTTGCAGGTAATTAAGAAAATATATTGAATTAAATGGAGAACGGCCATGATTCGTTTGACAAAAATTAAACAAGGAAAGACTATGATTAAATGAGATGAAGGAGTAGGTGTTTAAATACTACTCCTATATTTCAGGGTAAATTTAGATAACGAGAAACTACTATATTTTGAAACAGCAAGAAATAGTAATAATATTAATTACTATGTTTCCATTCATGTTCATGCACATGTTCACTGTTCACATTTGTTTATCACCTTCTCACATAGGGGCTGCGTTTAGTTCACATCAAAATTGGAAAGTTTGGTTGAAATTGAAACGATGTGACGGAAAAGTTGGAAGTTTATGTGTGTAGGAAAATTTTAATATGATGAAAAAGTTGAAAGTTTGAAGAATTATTTTAGAACTAAACACGGCGAGGATTACACGCATGGTAGTACCAGATTTGTAGCCCTGAGAAGTGAATGAAAATCCACAGTTTCCCCCAAAAAAGCCTCCTCTTTTTTACTTACCTGAACTTTTGTCCAGCCCCTATACATATCCGTATTCTGAACCCGAACCCTCAAATGCAGCAGTGAACACAACACAGAGGAAGAGAGAGAGAGTTAAGCTGGGCTCAGGGAGGACTAGGAGAGCAGCAGAGGCGACCGCTTGTTGTTGCTGCTGCGTTTGCGTTTCTAGGGTGTAAGCACGGGCCATCTTTCCGGTGGGAGCTTTGAATGCCAATCTTCACCACCATAGTAGTACTATCTCATTATCTCTCCCTCTGAGTCCTCTCTCGATCCGGTTCGGCTTGCTCGGGTTCGCGCAACGGAAAGGCGAGATTTTTGAGGGGATGAAGTAGTTGCCATTCTGATATCCTTCTCTATCTATCCGCTTCGACGAGCCGCGATCTCTGGGAGGTTGGTTTCTTTCTTTGCTTTGCTTCAGAGATTGGCATCTCCCTTCCTCCTTTTCTTCTTCTTGGGCTGCTCTTTCAGATATCAGATCGGTTTTCTGTTGAGGAAGGCAAGTTCTTTCGAGGGTGATTTGTTGTTTGTTCTAGATGTTTTTTTTCTTGTTGATTAGTGCTTAAGCATCGATCTTTGTGTTCTAGATTGGTTTTGTGTTCATGTATGTATATGCTTCGGGTGTTGAAGCCATCAATCAGTGTGTGCTAATATCTGTTCCAGGTTCTTATCTGGGTTCATGCTTTGAATTGGTTTAGTATTTTTTTTTCTCTCTCTCTGCGATTATGAAATTTTAGGAGTTGGATGTTGATTTTTCAATATATGAACAGGAGATTTTTTTTGTTTGGTCGTGTTAAGAGAAGTCGTAATCTAGGTAGGTCTCTAGTGCTAATTATAGCAAAAGGAAGAGATGTCTTTCTCTCCAGAGTTTAGGTTTCGTTCAAAAATTTTGCGCCGTATTTTGATTGACAAGGAGAGATGAGATCTGTGCAGTATGTCAATCAGTCAAGACTAATCCAGATGCTGTTCATGTCTTGTTCTTGATCTGGTCATAACCTTGCACTTTCAGTTTCTGTGATGCTTCAATTGTCAAAACCAGCGTGTTTTAGCACTGTTCCACCATGGCAGTTGTTCTCCAACGCAGCTAAAAAAAAGTCAATTCTTTAGTATTATATTGCAGATATGTTTGTCTACCATTTCAGTCTAATAATAATAAATACTACTCGATTTGTCTCTGTCCATTGAACCAAAACATATTCTATGACCAATAATTGACAATACAATACTGCCTGTTGCTAACCCAGTTCAGTTTATCTTTCAGGAATCTTGAGAAGCCTATGCAATTGCTGGTTCTTCATCAACCTTCGCAAGTTTTTTGGTTCCGTTTGTAGATATTAGCTAACCATAGATCAATTATAGTTTAGCCATCTTATAAACAAGCTGTTGTGAGAATTTGACTTCAGATGGGCCAAGGAGTTGCGGCTATTCCTGGCCTTGGGTCTCTTGGAGGCGTTTCCTGCGACAAATTCCTTTTCTCCTTTGCGAAATTCTACTTCAACATGTGGTTTCTACTGATCCAGGCATCCAAAGTTGGAATTTGATCACTTGTGAGGTAGCTTCTCTTCGCTTTCGTGGTTTGCCAGAATGGAGAGAGAGAATTCATGGCTGAGGAGAACCAAGTTCTCCCACACCGTGTACACAAGGTTGGATCACCAACGGGCGCCTATTGCTCCCCTTGGCAGGGATGTGGAGCAGAAACTGCAGAGATTTATTAGTATGGGGAAGTCTGTGTCGATGCCTGTTAACCGGGACGAGGATGCAGTGGCTGCGTTCAAGCACTCTGTGAGCTTGCCAACAGCCCGCTCCTCGCTTCAGATTGATAAGGAAAAGGCCAACAAGCAGAAGGCAGATTTTGATATCCCTTCAAGCCCTCCGGTGAACTCTGTTAATTCGAAGGGCCTGAAGGCAAGGAGCCTGGTCAAGAGCCCAAGCTCAGCGATGCTTCTCAGCTACTTGAACAAGGCACACCCGAATCGAGATTCAAACCTCAAGAAGACTGACAGACCTCAGCACAAGCTGAGATCAAAGTCCCCTCTTCCGAATGTAGCGCCTTCTGATGTGTTCAGAGAAGCACGTGCAAGTAGCAGGAGGTTTACAAGCCCTCCCCCAAAGCGAAGGGGATCTGAAAGAAGCATTTACGGCAAATCGTTTGATAGACAACTGTCTGATATGAGCCAAAGCCCTGATTTGTGTTCAACCCCAGTGTCCTCTGATAAGCACAAGTCTCTAAAGGATAGCTCATGGACTAGGAGATATTTTGATAATGGTGGAAGGAGGAGGGTTAGTGCAGTGGACGCTACTGAAGTTCGGAGGAACCGCGGGGTTAGTATGGCTCAGGCAGTTCAAACTACAGTTGATTGGACACTTGATCCATCTAAGCTGCTCGTGGGGCATAAGTTTGCATCTGGGGCATATAGCCGGCTCTACAAAGGACTCTATGATGATAAACCAGTTGCCATTAAATTTATTCGGCAACCTGATGATGACGACAATGGGAAGATGGCTGCAAAACTTGAAAAACAGTATAACAGTGAGGTCAATGCTCTATCTCACCTCTATCACAAGAATGTGATCAAGGTAACAAATAACCGCTTTTCATCTTGCATCTTGCATTATTCTGCCATAATCACCATATAAATCTATGGAAGTGTGTTCTTAGATTTTACTTGAGTTACTTCTAATGACCATGAAGTCTGGTATTGTGATCAGATTAAATTAATACTGTAGCCTTTATTTCATAAAAAAGAACACTTAGGATAATCCACAAACTCTGTCAGACATTTCAGCTTATGTTCTCTTCTCTTAAGGTATTTGATCTTATTTGATTAACACTGTTCTATAAAATTCCCAGGATATTCATTCACTTTATATGGTTGGCTTGATTGATTGACATTAGCTGATCACTGAATAATCTCTGAAATACTCAATTTTTATGATTTTGCTAATGGCAAACCTTCTCTGATCTTATTTATGTAATGCAGCTAGTAGCAGCCTATAAATGCCCACCAGTTTTTTACATAATTACTGAGTTCCTCCCTGGAGGTTCCCTGAGGTCATATCTAAATAGCACAGAGCATCACCCCATCCCTCTGGAGAAGATCATATCCATTGCTCTCGATGTTGCCTGTGGGTTGGAGTACATTCACTCTCAAGGGGTCGTGCACCGTGACATTAAGCCAGAGAACATTCTCTTTGATGAGAACTTCTGTGTAAAGATTGCTGATTTTGGGATTGCCTGTGAGGAGTCAATGTGTGATGTGCTGGTGGAAGACGAAGGCACTTACCGGTGGATGGCCCCCGAGATGATCAAGCGTAAGGCATACAACCGGAAGGTCGACGTCTATAGCTTTGGACTACTCCTATGGGAAATGATCTCTGGAAGAATTCCTTTCGATGACTTAACCCCTCTCCAGGCGGCTTATGCTGTTGCAACTAGGGTAATGGTTTCTTTCTCAATTTGAGTATACCTCCTAAGAGTAATTTTGTTGCTCCGCAGATGTCCAAAAACTTATGCCTCCTTTTTCTCTCCGTGTTTAATTTTTCAGCATGCGCGACCAGTAATTCCTCCAGAATGTCCAATGGCTCTGAGACCGTTGATCGAACAGTGTTGCTCATTGCAGCCCGAAAAGAGGCCTGATTTCTGGCAGATTGTTAAAATCCTGGAGGAATTTCATTCTGTTCTCTCCCAAGGTGGCTGCCTCGACTCACTGAAGAGCAGCAACAGCCAGGATCAGAAAAAGCGACTTCTGCATTGGATTCAAAAGCTGAAACCCTCACATAGCACCTGAGTTCCTGTAGTCTCTAGCATCCTTTCTGCCAGATGTTTTTATCCGGTTCTGTATGCTCAGTAGCTTAGCATAAGATTTTCATTTTTGTTCAGAAAAGGTGAACCTGTGTTCTAGGATGCTTGGACATGTTTATCAGGTGAATTGCAAGTAGGTTTACAGTACCTGTATATTGTGCTACCCTTCTGCTCTCTTCTCTGTTTTTGTGAAATTTAGTAGCAGATCATTCACATGCAGGTGTCTCTAATTATAAAAAAGGTAGCATTATTGGCCTAGATATATCGTAATCACTCATTTATATTAAGATTTTAAGGCAAACCTATGCAGGGTTGACTCCAGGCCGTCAGAACAGGAAAATGGCATTCGTTAATACAATTATTGTATCTTATATTATGGAGTCATCGTAATTATGATGCGACTTTGAGAAAGCAACATCTCTGCTTGCTTGAAGTCTGCTTTATCCTTGTGCTGTTTTTTTCTTGAAAGATGGATGTCAGTTTCTGGGAGTTTTTTTGTTCCGTAGCAGCATCTTTAGCTGAAAACTTGGTTAAAGTATGGGCTCTCCAAAATTCGCCATATGTGGGAGAAGTTGGTTTTTTTTTTCTTTTGAAAAGTTGGGTTGAATTTTGAGTGTATATGAAGCCTTTTCTCTTCAGATCTCCATCAGTAGTTTGCTGAATGTATGCGTATCTTGTAAGCTCTACCCTGAAAGTCTGAAGTTCTGAAACATTCAGATCACTGTAAAGCTTTACTCCGAATTTTTCTTCTTGACGAATCTTTCTATTGTTCTTGGCAAAGCAGCACGACTGCAATGAAATGAGTGAACAAAATGCCGCGTAGTTTAGCACACTAATTACAGGTTCAAAAACTCTGAAATTGAGTATAGAGCATTTTCGGCGGAGCAAAAACTGCGCACTGTCACCATCGAAAAACTGTAGCAGTTCAGCACTAATTTCAGCAGTTCTTCAGGCAGCAGCATCACCATCAGAAAAAGAGCAGACAACTGAGATAGCAGCACATAGGGGGGCCACATTGAACCGTTTCGATCTCGCGTAGCTGTAAGCATGTAACTGATGCAACAACATGTTTAATTAGCAGACAAAGCAACATTTTTCCCCCATCTTGTCGACGTCAGAATGACAGAATGGACGGTGCTTAGTACTACGAAATGCAACATTTTTCCAGCTTGCGAACGTCAAGAGTTTGTGTGTTGGTGTGAACTGTAAGCAAGAACCACAGAAAACACCTTGTCCTTTCGAGATGGGATAATGAAAATGGATTACAGTTAATTAGTACTAGCAAGTACTATATACTTATCTCTCTCTTTCTCTCTCTATCTCTATACATATATATGCTTTTAAGTTTTAACTTGATGAATTTGTACAAACCTGCAAGTAAATCAGTAGGGTAAAAAAAAAGAAGAAAAAAGAAGCGAATTACACGATGCAGATTAAGATTAACCAGTGAGTGATTTATCTCACTCGATCACTCTCGCAGCTAAGCTAAGCTAGCTTAGCTACTTGCACTGGCTGTTGACGAAGGCCTCCGACCTGACGATCCTGTCCATGAGCTTGTCCAGCCGCGCGGCGCCGGGGCCCGGCCGGAGCACCCAGTCGTCGCCGACCTCGTCGCACCCGCCGCCGGCGCCGACGCACCACCCGCCCCGGACGAACATGTCGCCTTCGGCGCCCGCCGTGCCATTGCCATTGGCGCGGCCGCGGCCGCCGAGCAGGTCGGCGTCGATGGCGTCGAGCACGGGGTCGTCGCGGGGGAACTTGCGGGCGAAGGGGGCGCCGCTGCGCTCCATGGCGGGGCGGTCGGCGAGGGCGAGCGGGTGCGGGTGCTGGCGCGGCGGCGTGTCCCACTGGATGTGGTGGAGGTCGTGGTTCGCCGCCGTGGGCACGAACCGCGGCGCGTTGCAGAGCACGGTCTGGAAGTAGCCCTCCGGCGAGGAGACGAAGTTGGCGTAGTACATGAGCAGCGTCCGCGGCAGGTTGTCCCACCCCCACACCACGTATTCGGCGAAATCCCTGCTCAGCGCCACCCACGCCGACCCCGTGAACAGCTTGAACGCCGTCGGCAGCTCCCGCCGCTGCTCCACGTAGAAGATGTCCTGCTTCCGCGCCATGTACAGCCCCGGGTCCACGATCACCGGCCTCGCCCTCTGCCCCCTACATTGCCATCCAGCCTCGTTCGTCAGAACGAAGCTGTAATATAATAAACTAACTAGTTTACCAAACCTCAAAAGGTGTAGTAAGTACTTACTCCTTCCATCCTAGATAGCCGGTGTGCTCGATGAAGTTGGTGTTCCTCGGGATCGAGGACAACACGTGGAGGATATCTGATGGATGAATGGTTTTAGCACACGAAGTCGTGAAGCTCACATGTCAGTGACTCAAAGTTAGGGGGACGGTCGTCGTACCGTCTTGGGTCATGAGAGGGTAGTCGGAGGCGGAGAGGTTGATGAACCAGTCCCAGTCGCGGCTGCGTCGGAGGAGGACGGCGCAGGCGTGGAGGGTGTTGGCGACCATGGTGGGGCCGCGGTAGGTCACCATGTTGGAGCGGCGGATCACCTCCACGTTGCCGACTCGCCGGAACATGGAGCTGTTCGCCACGCGCGCCGCCAGCTCGAGCCGCTCCGACACGGCGGCCTCCCGGTCGAGGTGGACGACGTAGAGGTTTCGCGGGTGGTAGAGCGCGTGGAGCGTCCGCCATAGCCGGTCGAGGTCGCCCTTGGAGCCGGACACCAGGTAGGCCAGCCTCGCCACGCCGGCGCCTGGCGGCGGCGACGGCGGCGGCAGCGGCAGCGGCTGCTTGGCGGCGGGGAAGAAGGCGGGGAGCGACGCCGCGACGGAGAGCGACGAGGTGGCGACCGCCAGCGTGACGGCGAGGAAGAGGAACACGCCGAACGCCGCCGGCAGCGCCCACCGGCTCTCCAGCAGCGCCGCCGCGCCGCTCGGCAGGACGGACGACGCCGCCGCCGACGGCGACGGCCAGCGCGGCGACTGCTTCGTCGGCGTCGACGTCGCCAGCGCGGAGTAGTCCCCCCGCGGCGTCTTCCCCGACGTCGGCGAGTGATGATCACCTCCTCCTCGACCTCCTCCGCCGCCGCCGCCCATGGTGCTCGCCGGCATGACACCCACCGCCGCCGCACCACGCTACAGAATTTTCATGGTTCGCTCTCACCAAAACTCTTGTAATTTATATGGAATTATAAGCAGCCAAGAACCAATCTCTCTCAAAGAACTTGCGAGGAATAGGGAGACCCGATGTGACCGATTTCAAAGACGAAAAATCAAAAATCAAAAACAAAATAAAAATCAGAATATGATCAAAATATCGATCACGACCTTAACCAAGAAACCGAGTGGAATTAAACGCGATGCTGATGCAACGGCGAAGACCTTATCGCCAAAGAGATCTGAACACGCACTGCTCCTCCTTGACCCAGTAGCCCGGGAGATCAATCAATCAAAACAAAAAACAAGAAGAAAAAAAAAATCAAAAAGAACACGACGACCTCTTCAAAACACGAAATCGACCAACCAAACAACCGGAATCTGACAGGGACAGATGATAATCAGATCAGATATAGAGGCAGCTGCAACTCCATGCATGTGTCGCAATTAATAATGCTCGATCGATCGAGAAGAAGAGAGCCGAGATCGATGAGAAGAATATAAGTGGGGTGTGTAATTAATCGATCGATCAAGAGAGAGAGGTGAGGAGATCGATCGAGCAGATAACGCGGGAAACGGTTGCGAGTTTGTGGAGGGATATATATAGAACACGGCATGTACATCACCAACACGACAGGTGGCAAGATTTGCGAGACACTTCCCCCGGCTAACACGGGCCATAACCTATCCCTAATAATGTGTATACTTAATTAATTAGTATAGTAAGCAGATGAGTGCTTCTTCTTCTTCTTCTCTCGTCGCCGTACGCAAATGGCGATGTGCGTGTGTGCATGCAAGCGTCGTCACGGATTGGTACACTCGAGAAAGTTAATTATCATGTGACAGCGACGGAGATTGAGGAGAAGTTTAGAGTCCATGGCCCAGATGATCTGCTTGATTTCTGCAGTTTCCGGTATTTTAATCATCATCTCTGTGTATTATCTTAGTTTATTTTTACGATATGGAAGTATAAATTCGTATTTGCACCAACTTAAAATATGTACTGGAGTTGTATAATGGAAAACGGAACAATGAATTAATGTGTGATTAATTATTATTAGCTTAAAAAATTAAAAAAAAAATAAATTAATATGATTTTTTAAAGCAACTTTTTTATAGAAATTTTTACAAAACACATACCGATTAGCAGTTTAAAAAATGTGCGCAGTAAACGACCGAGTAAAGTTGGGAAGTTGGGAACATGGACTTGTGAAGTTGTGAGTTGTGAACACAGCCTAACAATCACAGCAACTGTGTTTTATCCAAGCTAATTAATTAATTAAATCTGATTTTTGATCCGGTTTGACTTGATTAAGAATTGATAGAGAGAGATAATTAAGCTGGCAGGGGGACATCTCTGGTAAGCATGTCCCTTGTCACCAAACCCTGGCACAAATATGTCATTTTTTAAGCGATAAATTAAGTTGACTAGGGTTAATTTAAGGCTTTAAGCACCTGTACTGAAGGGCAAACAACAAGAAAACACTGAACAAAAGCAATCACACTACTACGTGTTTAAGAAACGGAAATTAAAGCTACTCCTATCAAACATTGATAGAGCATTAATATATTAAAGGAAAAACGAGAGTAAGAAATCGTCTTAGAGCATGATCAATAATTCAATATGTAGTATGACCACCACCGAAGCTAGGAAATTAATGTCACATTAGACTGACACAAGAAGTCTACATTTTTTTTGTCTAGAGATTTAGCTAAAGAAAAAGATAGGATCCGGCTTCACATACAAAAGTTGATTTATTATTTTATAATGAAAGAAGTACTCCATTCGGTCACGAAATTAGTGATTTAGTGACGTGTTGGACAGTGGCATGGTAACCAAAAAATTGATTATTAATTACTACCACCAATAAATAAAGCACAGTCATAATATTTTGAAACCTTTTTTTTGAAAAATTTAACCATATTATTTTCAAATTTTGAATCAAAATATTTGAAGAAAAATTGATAGTCAAAGTTTAAACGTGCTGACTACACGTCCTCTAAAATATCACTTATTTTTTATCGAAGGGAGTAACAAAATCCCAGACCATGCAATGTGCCAATGTTCATCTCCCTTCTCAAGATGACAAATGGCCGGGGTCTGATCTTAGATTTTTTCACTCACAACGGTACTCATTGAGTCATTGGAGGGAGTAATTCTAGTGTTTAGGTACAGGTACAAAGGTTAACTCTCTGCGATCCCCTCTTAGTAGTACTGATGAAATGAGCACACTCGAGTTGTTAACACCAACATTTGCCAATGAAGTCGCATAGGTATACCACCTGAAGATATATGATAATCAAGCAAATCTAAACGAGGACATATCTGATATGATACACATTGGTTTAAGAAAAAGTGCATGACACAACCTTCTTCATATATACTCCAGTTTTTAATAGATAACATCGTTAACTTTCGACTATTTATCTTATCAAAAAATTATATAAATATATTTTATTTTGCTATGACTTATTTTATCATTAAAGAAACTTTAAGAATGGTTTATATTTTTTTATATTTATACTAATTCTTTTAATAAGATAGATAGTCAAATATTATGTTAAAAAGTTAACAACATCATCTATTAAGAAACAAAGTTTCAAAATTTTCTTTTGATGGGGGCTGTTTAAAAGAATTTCCCTACTCGAATTTCCTCCCCTGCGCATGTGTTTAGGCAGACTTTTTCATGCCCCAACTAGCATATCTTGACACTTGTGGGACCCAATTTTGAATTTTGTTCGGTCACACAGTACTACAACTAAACACATGGGTTCAGATTCACCTAGGCATTATTGTTTATTGTAGCTGATGATTTGATTTCAAGTTACATGCATATACGTATCCTTTCCATCATGTCTTCATCAATCTTGTATCATATTCTAACAGTGTTTCGATGTAATAATCGTTAAAAAACAATTGTTGATTCTCTACTCCGTAGAGGCTCTGTGTGGTCTGTACGGGTCTTGGCTCCTAATTAACGTTGTTGCAAATATTTCCTACATGTAATTAAGATGGCTAGCTGCGTTGATAACACGATATGTATCGTTTAAAACCTAATTTGGTCCTAACCCTGTGTGGGCCCATCCTGAATCCAATGTGTAGCGGTGCACGTATATGCATATGTTTACAATGAGTTTGGCGAGTACTTTCTTTCTATTGATTATAAATATATTTTTTTGATGTTTATAGAACAATAGTTTCTTAAGTCCTTAATTTAAAAACAAAAAAAATGATACGTATGTATTTGTCTTGAAGAGTGATATCATAATAAATAAAGTTCGATCAATTTTATAGTTTTTAAGATAATGAAAGAATTTTACATCTGTTTCTACCATGAGACACAACCATGAGTTTGTTAAATTGTAAGTGATGTGACAAACCCAACTTCCCCCATGCATATTGTTGATTGGCATTATCAAATAGATTTTTTAGCCAGCAATTCTAATGTAACTATGCGTCACCCATTATAAAATAAGAGGCTTAAATTTAACTACCGATTCTAAGAGTGTAGCATCATTACGGCTATGTTCGAGATGTGAGGTTGGGAACTCACCTCCCGCGCATGTAAAACGGAGTGATGTATTTTCTTATGATTAATTAAGTATTTGTTAATTTTTTAATGAAAAATGGGCTGATATGGTTTTTAAAACAACTTTTGTATAGAAATTTTTTGCAAAAAAAAATGCACCGTTTAGCAATTTAAAAAGCGTGCGCGCGAAACACTGAAATGTGAGTTAGGAAAGTTGGGGAAAGAACACAGCCGTATAGTATGATGCTCATCCTCGATAGCACCAATCAAATTTGGAGCCAATAAAAATATACGAAAATAACTTACAATTGTTTTAAAAAAACTTTATTATTACGACAACATCAAATTAACCAATATAAAGCACTAGCTTTAATTAGAATTATTTTTTTGATGAACCTAATTACTCCTCCTCTAAGTAAATTACCAAAACTACCTTTTGACATTATGGAGTGAAGGGATATTAAAATAAAAAAAATGCATCTCCAACAAACCAAATAACGTGGCACTCAGAGAAAAAATGTTATATTGTCTATTGTGTATAGCAGAAACAATAGCGTTCATCTCCACCTTTTTTTTAGCTAGGTTATTCTTCGTTAAGAATCAAATTTTACCATGGATGACGATGAGAGGAAGTATATGTTTGGTGCTTAGCATAGTACACTGGTCTGGTAAACGTCTGAATCGAAAAAGCTTAATTTTCTCAAAGAGTGATGAACAGAAAAAAAAAAGCATCAGCTTTGTCGTGCAGGTCCTTGTAGTACAAGACGAAGGACTATTATTAACTAGCTGTACAAAATGCACGCACTGTTTATATTCCAATTTTTTTCTTCAAACTTTTAATTTTTTCGACACGTCGAACTTTCCTACACACATAAACTTTCAACTTTTTCATCGTATCATTTCAATTTCTTCAAACTTTTAATTTTAACGTGGAACTAAAGACAACCATAGTGTGATATCGTAGAATTGAAAAAAAAATTAAGCTGCTGTGTCGAATTAATGGGAGGAGAAATGCGACGGCGTATCGATCGGCTTGTACGTGGCGTCGCAAGCGCAGCTCTGGTACGTATTTATACGTGTGTACGGAGGCGGAGGCGTACCGCGTACGTATACGTATACGTCAATGGCGCCGTCGCGGGCACGGCGTGTGGCCGTCTGACCACCGGAATTGCTTGGATCGAACGGCAGATGTTGGCCGGAGCTGAGGACGACGACGTGTGTCGAGAGGGACACGTTTCAGCTCTATCGATCGTTTGCGCTCTTCAGCTAAACCGCAGTTAAAATTTTGAATTTTGTTTTTGTTTTTTTATATTATAAGTTGATTTTGATTTTTTTTTATCATAGTTTATTTTTTAGCGTTAGTTTTTTAAATTGCTATGAACATATATATATATATATATATATATATATATATATATATATATATATAAAAATAAGATTTTTGGACTATAAATTATTTGTTTCGTTAACCAGTATTACGGAGTACACAGCTTATACTTAGATAAAATGCTTGCATCACTTCTTGCATTTTAAAATATACTCCCTCCATTCCATAATATAAGACATAACTAATTATTTTAAAAAAAATGTTTCATAATATAATATATAGGCATGTATGAATGCATGCAATTAACTACCACTTCTTTCTCACTAAATTATTATTTTTTGAGTCCTATATCCTTAATATTTTTAATTCTATTAAGTGAATGCATTATATATATATATATACACGAATTATGAGGTGATAATAATTACTTTTTGGTCTTTAGATTAAGGGTGGTTGAGCCTTATATTTTGGAATGGAGAGAGTAGCAGCTTCTTGCATTCATAATTTGTTGTAAAATATAATTTTTTTCACCTATGTATAGGTTTTTAACCCACCACGTTACTAGCTCCGTCCCAGAACGTAGCAACCTAGGATATGCTAATGGGTCTAATCTGAAATATGCTCGTGTCTAGATTCGTAGTCTTAAGATAGATCTAATCTCATCCTAACTGGCTACGTTATGGGACGGAGGGAGTACGTTCTTCCATCGTTCAATTTCCACACCTACAGGCTCCATCGCCGTCGCAGGCCCGGCCACCTCATGTAGGTCGTGAGATCATCCAGTACGTACGTGCCAACGTACTCTAGCTTCGTCAGCATCTGGTATGTACAAATTTTAGATGGGGATGTTTTTATTCCGAAAATGGAAAGTCTACGGATCGTTGGGGGTTGAGTTAGGCCGCGTGAGGACCGTCCGATCTGGGATCTGCGGATCAGGTTACGCTGCTGCAGTCAAACGTTGCCGTGTGATCATCCGTGTCGAATTTGTACGAGCAAAGCACTGTTGCAGCTACGGTGAATCGTGTTGTGGTACTTTTCGACCAATGTTTAATCATTCATTTTATTTAAAATGTTTGTGCAAATATAAAAATATTTATGTCATGCTTAAAGGACATTTGATAATGAATCAAGTCACATTAAAATAAATGATAATTACATAGATTTTTTTGAATACGACGAATGGTCAAACGTTGGACAAAAAGTCAACGGCGTCATACATTAAAATATGGAAGTAGTCCGTTTTAATTTCTTTCAAGCTCCAACTGCTCCTCCACTTGCATTTACTCTATGGAGTTTGAGATGAGAGCAGTAGGAAGATTCATAGATATTGTTTCCGTGAAATCTTTTCCAAAATTCAAATCCTCTCCAAAGATATTATTATGCCTTCGTTTCGTTCCAACTTTGACAGAGTATTAACAATCGACTCATTACGAGTTTGACATGGTCTCTAAGTAGCTTGCCATTAGACCTGGATCATCTGCCTACTATACCAAGTAACTAGTGTGTTCTCTCTCTCTCTCCAACCTCTGATTCGCAAATCATCGGTTTATAATTTGGAAGATGCTATAACATTTTTCTTATTTTTTTCAATATAGGCAACCATTGTTACTACACCGTTTTTATAGTATCAAGTTATTGTTATGTATGTATTGAAACTTTCTAGCTTCTCTGCCACGCGTATTACTGTAGAAGACCAAGTCCCTCATGGCATGGTTGTATTCGATATGAGGTTGGGAACCCATCTCCTCCGTAAAAAAAACGGAGCAGTCTATTAGCGCATGATTAATTAAATATTAGCTTTTTTAAAAAAAAGGATTAATTTGATTATTTGGTTTTTAAGTAACTTTTGTATAGATTTTTTTAAAAAAAACACACCGTTTAGCAGTTTGAAAAGCATGAGCGAAAAAAGAAGAGAGAGAGAGAGAGGGGGGTTGGAAAAAGGCTCAAACGAACAGAGCATAAGCTATAGACACATCGGTTTTCCATAGCTTTTCTGTACGACCTCTTGTAGGAAGAATCGATGCAAGCTCACCCAAAATAGGGATTTCATAAGTCAATCCTATCACAAATGTACAATCCCTGATGATGTCTAGCAGAGAAGCTAGAATTAATGAAATGGAGGAAGGGCTACCCGCTTAATTTATTCTTCTTTAAATCAAATTTAGGTTGATGTGGTTGTCAAGATTAAGCTGAGAGGATTCAAATATGGTGAAAATAAACAAACTACAGTTAGAAAAATTTAGATCAGGTTTCTAGGCACCCGACCTCTTCTCTTGTAGCTCCACCCCTAATGTCTGTGTGATTTTGTTCCGGGCGCACGTACTTTTGATGGGGGAGTATGTGCGTCATCAACCTTCGATGATGTCTTGAAAGAAAATAAAAACTGAAGATTATTAAAAGTTGTATATATAACAGTTATCTACTTATCTTCGTTGAATCACTTGCTATCCAAGAAAAATGGTGGATGAATTTGTTTAATTATATGTCCTGCTTATCTTCAATGTCTTAACTCTTAAGAGAACGATTTCAGTCATCTTTGACCACGTGAGCTATGATTTAGTATTCTCGCCTGAATTTTGTCATTTATCAAGGCAATTATCCATATGCAAGCTTGACACATAAGCCGCCTTCTGAAAGGAATCAGACTCTACTTTTAACTTTAGTCTAGTACAAGTTAAACGGCTGCTTAAAACCAAGACTTGGTAAATGTTGACTTTAGTCAATCGAAGAAAAACCTTGCGCAAACAGCAACTACTGAATTTAGCAATTTCGATTGGTAATATCAGACCAAATTCCATTCACTCTATTATAATTTGAAGTATGGTGAAGCTTATACTTCTTAGAAGAAGACTACCAAAAATGGTAGATTTTAGCACATATTTTATATATATAACATTGGTAATTTCATACCAAATTTCATTCACTCTATTATAATTTGAAGTATGGTGAAGCTTATACCTCAGAAAAAAAGGCTACCAAAAATGGTAAATTTTAACAGATATTTAATATACATAATATACATTTATGAAGTACACATAAGACTACGATTTAGTCTGACTCAACATTTACATTACTCGGGCACACAATTTCAGAATCATAGGACTCACAATAACCACTGAATTTTGCAAATTTGACCGAAAATGAATACCCTGAGTGCAATTGGAACTTGACAAGTTCTGATCATGTTTGGTTCCATTCCACAGCCTTTCCTAGCAAGTACTAGGCAAGATTTCTCATCAACTTGGCCACATGCAGGACGTACATTCACTGCAACCACTGAAGTTTTGCAAATTTCACTAAAATGAAACCCCACGTGCAACTCGGAACCTAGTTAACAGGTTTTGGTCATGTTTGGTCCCATTGCACAGCATGTCTTAGCAAGGAGTAAGCAAGATTTCTCAATAACTTGGCCACATGTAGGGCGTACGACCCACTAGCGTGGGGTACACTATACAAAAACAAGGAACCAAGCATGCCCAAAACTTCGTAGATCTAATTCACACAGCATACCTAGCAATCTGAAATATACAATTGAGCTAGCATTTCAGCAAACTGAAACCAGAACATGGAGAATTGCCAGCCTCATGATAATGACATCTGTAGAACACCCAAATTGCCGCTAAATTAACAAATGGCCTTCTTCCCTCTCCTTCAAAGTTTTTTTTCCCAATTAAAAGGCATTTCACAGCTAGACTTTCCTGTACATAACGTGATATATATCCCCCGGAAATATGGGGGAAAGGAAGCCAATAAAACTTCTCTTGCAAAATCACGTCGATACGAAATTACTTGCTAAGCATTGGCCTTACTGCTGCATAGCTCGATAGCTGGAGCGGCTTGAAGGGAAGACCGGGGCAGCGCCAAAGTCACTGGGTCTTAGGCCAAACTGATGATGCCCATCCCCGGAGTGCCCATGGCCTCTCCTTGCTCTTGACTTCTCAACCCGGGTTCGGCGGAAGACTTCTTGAATTTGGCGGTCATTTTCCTTCAGCATCTGATCGACATTGCCTGAAGGGCAAATTAGAGGCCCAGAATGGTGGATCTTGTTACCCTTTGATCCATAGCCCTGTTCAGACAAGAAATAGTCAATTAGAAATCTAGACAGGGGAACAAAGTAAAGTTATCTGACATCAAAGCTAGTGCTATAATATTTTTCGGTTTTTCCAAATGTGTTAATCGTGAACTACAAATAATGCTAGGTAAACCTCATAATAACCTGCTGGAACTGAATACATAATATATGAGGACCTTGGATTTGCTGAAAGAAACTTTTCAATTTGACAACTGAGATTTGCAAAAAAACTGCCAACTATGAATTAAATGGCATAACAAACTGTTTTCATACTTTTGCTACTTAGGTCTGGAGATACTTACAATAGCTCCATCCACCCTGCTACTCCTGTCATCTTTCTGCTGAAATACTTGATCATACTTTCCACTACTACTGAAACGCTCATTTATAGATTCAGACAGCCTCCGTTCATGCGGAAAGGCTTCGGCTTGAGTAACCACTGTTCCATTGCCATTATCTGAACGAATATTTGATCTTGTTGATACAACCACACGGAAGTCCGATGCGTTTGCAACACCAGAAAGATGAATATCGCCATTTTCACTCCGTCCAGCCTTTGAAGGTTTATTTTGATTAACTAGAGGCCCAGAATGGAATGTTCTTGTGTAGACACGTTGAGAGTCTTGAGACGATTCAGCAGGATGAGTTGGCCTGGGTGGCTCAATCGGAAAGCCAGATGCAGAGTCTTCCTTGCTGGGATTGAACATCTCACTCCTGCTCTTGGCATTGACTTGGTTTTGTCTTTTCTGAAATTGTACACAAAAATAAATATATTCATCTAAAAAAATAGAACAACTTGGATAGCAAGATTGTAGAGGAAAAATACACTTGGAATGTGTGCTGGCTATTAAAGGCTTCATGTACTTGTGGAAAAAAAGGAGACAAAGCGCACAGCTTAGACACATATGAAGATCACAATATAGAGCCAGTGATTACTATGTATGTGAATGTAACTTACAAATAAGCATATACGGATATACCTCATCAACCTAAATATGAATAGTACAATATATTCAATAACAGTCAACAAGGTATTACCTGCAAAGATGACACTAATTCTGCATTTGCGTCAGGTGCAGGAACTGCTCTCGACTCTCTAGTCCGTCTTTCAGGATCATACTTGTGTTGCTTTCCTCCAGCAATACCTTGCCTACAGAAATGTGCAAATGTCAATTTTGAAAGAAAATGCAGGCATTGCAGATTCATGATAAGATTGTTTCTTTTCCATTTAAGCACTAAAAGTATAGAGACAAATAAACACAGACAAGAACTATAGACAATAAAAGTGAATTCATGTGTAAAAGATGTTTATAACACAGGGAAATACGTAGAAATAGGGGAGGTGGGAGGGGGGAGAGAGGTTCCAGAGTGGAATGCAGAATACCAGAACAGGAATGGGTCCAATCATATTATATATCTGGTCAGCTGATACCATATGCACACGACCAGCCAGGTATAAAATCGGTGATAAGGTCAGATTCATGATACACCTGTTGATTGACTTTAACACTCTAATTTGCAAGAGTGTGTTTTCCTTATTATTATGAAGCCATGAAGGTATGCATAGGTCAGCAGAACATTGATCCAAGTTCTCTAAGGAAGTTTTATGATTCAGAGATAAGATGTAATATTGTAAACATAATGTTTGTCGTAAGTACCTCCGAGCTTCCTCCTCTCGCCGTTTTGCATCAAACTCTTTGCTTGGGGGATATCTCGGCAGACTTGAAGGATTGCAAGCATATGGTTTTGTTGCAAAAAACTGAAGAAGACAATAACAAGCACATTGTTAATATCCCAAAGATTGGGTACTATGATGATTAAAAGTAAAAAAAAAAAACTTTTGAGATGTATTGTGAAAGATTAACAACCTCCTCTAACATAACATCTAGTGGATCATGGTACACAGAAATGAATAGCAACAGAGCTTTTATACTTCTAAATCCAAAACCTTGATCCAACTAGGACATGATGACTTTCATAGACATTAGAGATGGTTCAGGGGGAATTATTTTGCAGAAAGTATTTACTTCCAAACAAATATAGCTGATCTGAAGTTTCTAAAAAAAAGGAAAATAACGTTTTAACAGTGATACTTTGCTATTTTAAAACTTCAAACAGCAGAATATTTGAATGCAGCACATTACTCCCTCTGTTACAAATCTCTGGTGTTTCTGGAATTGTACGCTCTCCAACATGTGCCTTTGACTGTTACTTTTAATTTATATTCTGAGAGAGTGAGAGTATTATTTTACAGCAAATGTAATGGTAAGGCTTTCATCTGATTAATCTTGATAGTGTTATGTGGGTTAGCATTTATTGTCTGAGAGTTCACGGCACACATGCCATGTTGACATACATTTGTAAACAGAGGGGACAATTGAGAATTGAAATGGAGTAACGTATAATCAAATAGAATCTCTATATGGATTCTCTCTCGAAATAAAAAAGAATCTCTATATGGAAATAAACAGGAATGTCTCCAGCAGCTGGAGAAAAGTCCAAGGAATTTGAATACCTCACTTTGCAATGCAGAAGATGCTGTTCCTCGATCTGCTGGATCAACTGAAAGAAGAACATCCACTAACGCCACAGCAGGCGGAGGAAAATCTTTAAATGTTTCTGATACACGCCTAGCATATGGATGCTGTGGCTTAAAAATTGTGGCATGAGGAAGTTTAGACTTCCTCCAATAGTCCTCTGATGGTGAACCACAGAGTTTAAATATTTTATGTAACTGCTCAACCTACAAAAAGAAAAAAAACAATATGAACACTATTTCAAGACAAATTCAAAGCATTCACTAATAGCGTTTACTCCCTCTGCCCACTAATATAAAACGTGTTTTGATTACAGAAATTCAAATTTGAAAGATTTTGACCAATGATTAGTTACTACCTCTGTCCCAAAATATAACAATTTTTAGCTATGTATCTAGACATACCCCTGTCCAGATACATAGCTAGAAGTTGTTGTATTTTGGACAGAGGGAGTACCATACAAGCACATTTAGTGTGTCAAACTTATAGCATTAGATTCATACTTCAAAGTAATTTCACATAATATTGGTTTTACAGCTATTGGGATTATATTTAATGAGAAATTAGTGGTCAAAGTTTAGTCTTAAAAACATTCTGCAATTAAAATGCACCTTATAAACATGAATGGAGGGAGTACTTCCAAGTAAAATAGTGGTCGACAGCATACCTCAGTTCTACCAGGCATGATAGGCTTGCCAGCATATAACTCAGCAAGAATGCAGCCAGAACTCCAAAGATCTACAGCAACACCATAATTTGTGGCACCAAGCAAAAGTTCTGGTGGTCTATACCAAAGTGTGACCACACGACTAGTCAAAGGGTGACGTTGTTCAGGATCAAAGAAACTTGCTAGGCCAAAATCAGCTATCTTCAAAATGCCTCGGTTGTCAATCAAAAGATTGGAACCCTTAATGTCACGGTGCAGAATGTGACGACTATGACAATGCTCAAGGCCACAGAGTAGCTGCTGCATGTAACATTTAACCTGCAACAACAGAATGATCATTGCCCGCTTGCTTTACTCGTATTTTAAGTAAACAGCTACTTGAGGCTTTTTTAGGACTACTATAGGATGCAATATATTCCTTTAGTCTTTCTTTACAGCTAATAAGATTTAATAACGAGTACAGATTCCAGAAGAGGTAATATCAATATACCTGAGACTCAGTAAATTTCACTCCAGGAAAAGAAGCTAGTCCAGCTAGGTCATGTTCCATGTACTCAAAAACAAGATATAAGCTACAAGACATTCTTGAAGTTACTAGACCCTCCAGCTTAATAATATTTGGATGATCAAGCCGTCGCAAAATAAGGATTTCCCTGGCCATGAACTTCACACTCTCAGGTTCCAAATTATCAAACCGCACTTTCTTTAGGGCAACAATCTTCTCCTTTTCAAGATCGCGAGCTCTGTAAACATTACTGTATGTTCCCTGACCAATCTGTATAAACAAAATAACAACAACTGAACACACCATGGTATAAAGGGCGCAATCAGTCCAGGTGCAAAGTAAAGTTTAACAGTGCACAATCTAGTTACAAAGAAAAAGGGACATAATTGTCAACCAAATAGCAGTTCCTAAAATTTTGAAGTTCAGAGAAATAAAGTATCCCGTAGCAAACAAAACAGGAAACCGCGGTATTATAACAGCTAAACACCAGTGATTCAGCTAAACTGAAACTGGATCAACTGTTAGCAGAATATATTACATTATTACTATTACTATTTAAATTTTAAACCAAGTTTGCAGGTGAAAAAAAAAAGTTGCCACCATACTCTCAGATCCCATAGCAATGTAGTACTACTACTAGAATAGCATTGTTCACCCCACCCCATTAATAGCAGGGCATGAGTTGCTAGTAATGCCCACTGTTCCCAGGTTCCAAGGTCCACCAAAATTATCAAGAAATCCAAAATAAAGAAAATGCCACCGCATTTTCGCATCCAACGTAAAAGGTGCCTCCCACTAATAACAGATTTGTACTGTTTCCAGTCGTCCTAGCTACCAAGAATCCACTTAATAGACAACCCAAATAAAAACATCGCGATAGTACCCACCCTCATCAATCGTCAGTAAATATCCCTGTAAGAGGGGTAAACTCCCCACATTTTACAGCCCAATTTTACCTTTTTTCCTTCCATTAGAGAAAGTATGAAGGTGGGGAGCACATTGTTAATGCATCAATTTATATTCTCAACGAGAAACAGAAATCCAAAAGGGGGAATTCGCAGCCCGCATTGCTCCAAATTCTCGCCGTTCCAATGTTCCAAATTAGAGATCAAAGATGAGAGCAGAAAATGAACAGAGCCAAAATGGAGATGTAGAGAGAGAGAGAGAGAGGAGAAGAGAGTGTGTGACCTTGTCGAGCTTCTCGAACGACTCGGCGCGGCGAGGCACCCACCCGCGCACGGCCTCCGCGGCGACGGAGACGAGCCACGGCGGCCACCCCGCCGCCACCTGCTCCCCCTCCACCGCCCTCGGCACGGGGCTCCTCACCCTGCACGCCGCCATCGCCATCGCCGCCGCCGCCGCCCTCCTCCTCTCCGCCGCCTCCTCCCTCCCCCCCACCCTCGCCTGCACCTTCCTCGCCTCCCCCTCCCTCCTCACCATCCCCACCCCCATCCCCACACCCTTCCCCGCCGCCACCGCTGCCTCCGCCGCCGCCCCGCACCTCCCATCATCCACCGCAGCCGCCCTCCCGCACACGCACCCCATGCCCGCTGCCTACACTCACTCCGCCCACCTCCCGCGCCGGCGCCGCCGCCACGGGCGCGGCATGCGGAGGCCGGGATCTTCCCGGGGTAGGTCGCCGCGCCGCCGCGCCGAATTGGGGCGCGCGCGGCTAGGGTTTGGATTGGAGTGGAGGAGGAGGAGGAGGAGGAGGAAGTGGAGGGGAGTAGCAAAAACCAGCAAGGGAGTAGTAGCACACTAGCAACGGCCAGGAGAAGAAGACAGCGAGAGGGGAAGGGGAGGGACCTGTTTGTAATTTCTCGGTTTTGTTTGTAATTTTTTTCAGGGGTGTTTCTGCTTAATGGCTTCTCTCTAGGTCTTTGAGGGGAGGGACCTGTTTCTAATTTCGTGGTTTTGTTTGTAACTTTTTGCAGGGTTGTTTCTGATTAATGGCTTCTCTCTATGTCCTTTTGCATTTGAGGACCTTGAAGGATGGATATTTTTGAAATGGAGGTAAATGTCAATACCTTGATTCCTCTTGGTCACATTTCTCTCCTCTAATAACAAGTTAAGCAAATAAAGTTAAGGTTTTCCGTAAATAGGCTTCGATTATAGATAAAGAAATGTCGAATTTAAAGTTTGTAAAAGTAGGACCCCTAGATAACATGCAAGAAGGGATTTGTGTCATTGGCATATTGTTCGCCAAATTTCTAGATGAGGGCTATATATAATAATTTTCTTGCTGATATTAGCGACTATCATCTTGGAGAGAACGGTAGAGAATAGCAAAATTATCCACAATAAGCTCACACTGTATGATTGATTGGTTAATATGATAAGAATGTCTAGATTTGCCAACCTTTAACAATAAAAATCAGTCACGCTTTAGTTGCATATAAAACCCACGCCATGCTTTCAATGAACACTGGTGCATGTATGGGATCAAAACTGCATTGCGACACTCGATACTACGAAAACACAACAAATGTATAACTTGATCAAACTTGACTAATCACAAGTATGTCTATTTAACCACGTGGCTCCTAAGCCCAAAAGAAGAAATACTCCCATACTTGAGGGGCTCAAAGAGTCAAGAACCATAGCAACACAGTTCATGAGCGGCAAAGACAGGAAGCTTGTGAGACAACTTAAAAGCTGAATAATCAAGCTTTTGGGGGGCATATATGCAGATCCCTTTTTCTTGCCCCCACACTTCTTTAAAAATTATAAATAAATAAACAAAAATACAGAAGCTGTTCTTCCCTGTGGTGTCTCTGCACCGGCTCGCCAACTTTTCCTACCCTCCAGGATCTCACTGACACGTGAGTCCCACATATCCGGGCCCACCCGTCAGCGACACGTGGCGACGCGAGGGGTATGATTTCTGGTGCGGGTCTTCGAGAACGGCGCCGGCCGTTAAACTGTTGTCACTGGGCTAAGCTAGCTAGCTGCCAATTTGGCTCGTTGCTACGCCCACACGGTGCCACGTACACAGGATCTGGGCATAGAGGTGTGTGTATGACATGGTGGGCCCACCAGCTGAACTGCTACTGTTTGTGTATTGTGCTGATTTGGCAGGTGGTTGTGGTAAAGCTTCTTCACGATGGGATCGAGATCGAGTTTTTTTTTAACTCAATAATCCTCGTGGGCAAAATATATGTTTTTGTCACGAGAAATGCATGGTACTACGTGTCCTAGAGGATTTTTTTTCTTACTAATTAAATCCAAGCTCGTTTGTTAGTACACAACGAGAGCTTTACTACTGGCCACTAATTCACATGCTAAAGCTGATTTATACAGGACTTTTGGCATTTATATATACTGTCATGGTGTTTCTATTTTTCTTTTCATTGCAAAAAAAAAAAGGACGCTCCCTGTCGTCCACGCGCGGGCGACCGGCCGCCGCCACCGGAGCGCGCCGCCGGAAACCGCGCGGCCCGCCGGGATGGCGGCGGCGGGGCCAAAACCCGGCGGTGGCCCGTCTTCGGCGTGAGGAGGCGATGCAGCGTGCCGGGAGGCCGCGCGGCGGCGCGGCTTGTGGCTGCGGATCCGGCGCCGCCGCCGCCGGATCTGATGGCGGCGCGACCGGGCGACGGGCGACGCGGCGCAACCGGGCAACGGGAGACGCGGCACGCCAGGAGACGGGGGTTGACGGCGGCTGGTGGAGGGGTCGGCGACGATGTTGGAGATGATGCGGAGACCGGCGGCAGGCTGGGGCGGCTTCGCGGTGGGCAGCAGCGACTCGTGCCGAGGTCGCGGCGTCGACGGGAGGTTGGCGCCAGGGCAGGAGACGGCGCGGAGACGGCGGCAGGCAGGGGCGACGTCGCCGTGGGCGGGCAGCGGTGGCTCGATCCGTCCGCGCGCAGGCAGAGGCTGTGGCGGCGTGGTGGTCATGACGACGACGGAGCTGCAGCGGCGCGGACGTTGAGCCGGCTTGTGCCGCCCTGGCTGGATCCGGCCATCCACGACCGGATTTCGCCTAGGTGGGCTCCAGCGGGGTTGTTCGCTGGCATCTCATTGGCGACGAGCCTCCTGCCGAGCAGGGGGCTTCTTTGGCCAGTGGAGGTTTGGTGGCTCAAGGGCGGCAATGCATGGATGTGGAGTTGGCGGGACGACGGCTTGTGCTGGCGTGAAGCAGGAATGGGGCTTGATGTCCGCGGCGGACTTCCTCGTTGCTGGCCGAGTGTTTTTCCCTTCCTTCGGTTTCCCCCCTTCTTTGGCCGGACCCTTTTCTGGTCGTGGGGAACGCTAGGGGGAGGGCGGAGGCTTCGGTTTGCCGTAGGAGTTTGCGGCGGATTGATAGCGTTTTGAGGGTGGCCAAGGGCCCGTCTTTGCCGTTTGTTACGATCAAGGTATGAATGCTTGTGAGACGTCATAGACTATTCTATGGCCGTCGATGTGGGGTGCTTGTGTGGGTAAAGTGAAGATGCTAGCGAAAGTCTTGCCGTGCCTTTGGCCGGTTCGACGACGACGGCGCTCGTGGTCGTCGTTTCCCTTCTTGGAGGCGTTGTCATGGCGTTCTTTCATATCCCCCACAAATCTTCAGGTGAAAACCTTGTTCCGGCTTTCGGACGAGCGGCGACGGTGTTACGCGTCGTGTCCTCCTTGGGGGCGTCGCTTCAGAGAAGTTTCAACGCATTGACGACTGTTGATGGTCTTTTTCGCTTCGAAAGCTTTCATACATTGTGTTCGGCGAGGCTTTCGCCTTCTTGGGTCTACTTCGTTTCTTGTGGTGAGTGTCACGCTCTTTGGTTGTTTCTGTTGATGAAGTCGAAGCTGCTCGCTGATGGGGTGCGGCGAAGCTTGGCAACGATGACATGTTGCAGTCTCTTCCAAGGAGTTCTGGTGCTAGCCGTGTGAAGGAAGTGGCTCCTCGATGGCTAGGCTGATGTCCATTGTTGGATGCCGGAGCTGCTTTTCGCTTTGGTGATTTTCGTGGATTCAGTGTCGCTGTGGTTGTGAAGTCGGCGCTGCTGGGTCGCTTGGGCGGCTAGCTCGACAACGATAACACCTCTTATGTGATATGGGAGCTGTTTAGTCGCTTTTGTGTTCAGCTTGGCGGCGACATCCTGCGTTTGGGCTCCGCCGTAGTTGTTAGTTATGTAGGGTGGTTTTCAGCCGGTTTTCCTGTAATTAACCGTGCAATTGTATGGTTTTCGGGTCCGATTTTCCTTATAAGCTGGGTCAATTCTCTTCTTCTAAATATAAAAGTGGAGCAAAGTTTCGCCTTAGGTTTTTTTTTAAAAAAAACCATGCGTCTGAGTTTTTACAAACATCCTATGTGTGTGTTTTTGGCAGTATGAGGATGTCTGTTTCCTCGCACTGACATCTTACTTGAAATGTCGTCTCTGCAGGTCTGCAGATATACTGTATTGTCCATGATAAAATTAAGAGTAGAATATAAACAAGCAGACAGCTAACAGCTTGCTACCATGAGCAGTCAAGAGACAATGCAAATTAAGATTGCAAGTGTGTGTGCCTTGAAAGTTGAAACCATGCAAAAGTACAGACACCCAATCCATACATTAATTACACAACTCAACTTGCATCATCATGGTAAGTATTGGTTCATTTTTAATCCATCCAAGCGATGACCCAAAATTAAGTCAGCTAGCCATCCCAATGTACACAAAATTAATGAGATAGAGAGGGAGAGAGAGAGAAAAATAACTAGACAAGCGTGGACAACTGGACGACCGAATTAGAGCAGGTACAATAGCAGGCTATAAACCAGCTATAAACATATTTTAAAGAGATAAAGGAAAGGAGAGAAGAGCAGCGGGCTACAGATCTGTAGCCAGCTGCAGCACAGACTCTAAGACGTACTGTGTGTACGACAGGTAGGACCAGGTATTAATAGTATAGCAAGTAACTACTGTATGAATTAGCTATTACTAGCAAAAGTGCCCGTGCGTTGCACCAGGTGATTACTGAGTGTGTATATTGACCAAAAGTGTTGTTTGGTTTAGCAAAAGTGCCTGTGCGTTGCAACGGGAAGCGTATAGATCAGCAGAATATGGAATTAATTAAAATATAAATTCACTGAAATATTTGGTATTTTTAAGTAGGTATGTATATAATTAAATAAAAATTTACAAGTAAAGTATGTGTGAGAAATAAAATGATATGGTTAAATTTAATTTTATTAAATTCTCCATGATTAGTTTCGCTCTTTGAAATTTTATAGAATTTTCAGAGCTTAATTGCTAATTTTAATAATACAAACTTCATTTAACAATTATTTAATTGGAAATCTAATTTAAGTTTTTGTTGGGCCGACCGACCTACGTGTGGCCCATGAAGCGCGTGTGGCCCATCACTGATGCGGCCCGATGATGGAGGCCAGCCCGACGCGGGAGCGATCTGAGCCGTTCATTTTAATGGACGGCTCAGATCGGCTCCTAATCTATCAAAACCCCCAACCCAAATAAAACCTAACCCTAATTTCATTCTTCCCCTTCCTCCCCTCCACGCAGGCCGCCTCTCTCCCTGCCGGCGGCCGCGCCGCACCCCCACCGGCGCACCTCTCCACGCTCCTTCCCAACCGGCGACGCCTCTTGCCCCCCTCCCCACCGCCGGCGGCCTTCCCCACCGAGCAGCGGCGACGACGGCGGTAGCGGCGCCCTGCCCTCCCGCGAGCGGCGGCGGCGGTGACGGCACACTCCCTCGCGGCGGGCGGTGGCCGCCGCACCACTCTCTCGGCAGATCCGGAGGTGGTGGCGGCGGCGGTAGCCGCCGGTGGATCCG